GTTTAGGGTTTAGGTTCAGGGTTTTGCAAGTTCCAGTCCAAACCCCACATGCCCCAAATGAGCCCTGCGCATGCGACCTTGAGCTTGCGATCCTCAACCAGCCTCCGACCCTCAATTTCCGAAATCGCTCCTAATTCCTCCTCCGGGTTCTTCTTGATTCCCTCAATCCCATGAAACCCCAAAACAACAGCAAAATAAGAAACAACCCAAACCCATAAATCCGAAACCCTGAACCCACACGTTGAAGCCCTTGCAGTCCTCGGCTGGAAGCTTGGGCGTTCAGGGAATTACATACAGACAGGTGTAGTGTTGCAAGATATACGTACTCGAGGTTCACAAGTCGTAGACTGGAGAGGACACTTTGGGCTTTAATCTTTTGCAAAGGGATGTTAAGGATTTCGGGTTTAAAGATCCGTGCGATCCGGACTCGGGTTTTGTTTGGGTCTCGGTGTTTCAGGGTTCTGGCGCTTATTAGTAGGGTTTACGAAGTTCTGCGGTCACGGACACACACTCATGTGAACAGCCCTTCTTTAAAGTAGGTTTTCCTAACCACACGTACACAAGCTTAAAGGAATTCTGGGTGGCTTTGGAAACAATATTGGAACCACCTGACCATCCCAAGGCTTGGTCGTTGGGATTTTTTCTGCGACACAGAAACGAAGAGTGCCAGGCTTCGGTTGGGTTCGCCATTCCGAGATATAGGGCTGGGCTATGTTTTAAGGGTTTGGGGTCAAACTTAAGAGTGCTAGGGTTTACGGGGCTCGGGCTCGGATCTTTGGGCGATGCGGCCGGCTTCTGCGGCTGCTGCACTGCTATACTACATGCTCATCTTCGATCTTTGTGACCGCCGCTTGCTGTTGAACTGGTTCGGCCGCCAAATCCGTTTAGCCTTGAGGGAAGCAACATCGTGTCGAATCCTGGTCAACACTTTTGGTGGGATTATTCTTTAATTATAAGCTAGATTGTATATATACAGCATATTGCAAACAATTACTGTAATTACACATAAAAAAGATATTGGCTACAAGGCTGGGGTGGGTTGAGTTTTCTGCCGCGGCACGCAATGTACCACTTGTCCATCCAGGAGGCTTCCAGATTTTCGGGCTTGCATTTGCTGGGCGATTCCTTAGCTCCAAACTCTCATGACAACGGTCGCGCTATAGTAAACTGCCAACCTGCCCCTCAATATCAGGCCTAGATTCGTTTGGCGAACTGCATCGACGCTTCATCTCTGTAGGTATGGTAATACCTACAGTTGTACAATTCTTTCCGCATGGCCAGCCCCAAGTGGTGATAGATGTGGTGCTTCGGCCGTAACTGCCACACCATCCTGGGATGCAGGTGTTGGGTTGGGGTGGGTTTGGGGTTTCATCTATGTATAGTTTGCTTCTATATATGGTTGCGTTGAGTGAATAGTTCGACCGGGCTTCTCGCCACTGGCACCTGCGAGCTTGGCCAACTGCAAATAGGAGTTCAGGTGGGTCAGAGTCCAGCGGTAGAGGCTATCGGCTTCCTGGAATTGGATCTGTCACTGAAAATACCAGCAGTGCACCTACACTTATATTATTTCACACCACAAAACGGTAAGGATACTCGTGCCTAATTCTACAGGGAAGAGTCGGATTGTGTCAGGTATCTTCCATACTTCTCCAATTCGCAGTGCCAGGCATGCAAAGCATACATACAGTTGTAGGTGAGCGACATGCGCTCTGTGGGCCCGGGGTGCTTCTCCAAAGCCTTGCTACATTCGTCCGCGAGCCAACTTGAGATGACTCGCGAGTTGTATGCCTCGGGTCAATCGAACAGCATCAAGAGCAGAAGGCTTGTAGCATCATGAGGATCCAGTCACATATATTAGTGGGTAGGGGGCATTCATTTGGAATATTGTGTCGTTCAAAAAAATTATAAAATGGTGCCAAGATGCTTTGGTGCCAAAATAGCAGTACTCTTCTCCGGAAGTGATGTACATATAGCTTTTAAAGGGTGGCTGCGAGCACTGAATTTTGTGCTTCCCGGTAAACTCCTTGAAGCTTATAAAAGCATTCCTCAACATAGACGCCTTGTCGGTCCCGGGAAACCACCCGAGCTTGAAGAGCTCGAAAAAAACTCCACCGTGACAAAATTGAGCAATACCAAGCTGCACGGTGTGGACGGAACAAAACCGGATAAAGCTATAGTCGAACTTTGCGGTGTACAACAGGGAGTTGATGGGTTCATTGAGCTGCTCTGCTACAAACTGAGCATGGGTCCTTATCGTTGTTGCCCATCGTGGCTCCTCTGAAAAATCCGTGTACGGAAATTGCGGGTTAGCTTTGGATGCCTTGCAGCAATGGCATATGTCGCTGCACGCCCAGTGACTTACCAGTTTGAAAGCATGAGCATGATGCTTCCAATCGCCCCGCAATTCAACAAGTCGAAATTTGTAACCCCCGTACATAGGGTCCTTGGGCTTCATGTCGGGGCCCAAGCTTTGCAAATCTTCCCCGGCCAAGTTCTTCTCCGGAAAAGCTCCTGAATACATACAATTGATACTCCAAGCCAGAAAATCAAACACTGGAGCGATTGTCTCGTAGCCAAATAACCTTTCGGAGCGGATGACGAACACAGGAAAGCGGCTGCCAAAGACAGTCTTCGAACCCTCGTACAGTGGGAAGCCTTATCGTGCATACCAATCCTAGACTATCCTTAGCAAGCAAACAAGTAACCCGTTAAGCCTTTCAAACCACCTGACCCTACCCTAAGCTAGCATTCTCACCCAGGCAGGCACACCCTACAAATAAATATGAAATACTAATAAAGAATAAAGGTACTGATATACAGTGCCAAGATTTGCTCCTTCGTGATGCTGTACTCCGCCTCGTCCCCATAGAGTGCAACCGGCACAAAAGCCTTCCAGTCGAACCCCTCCATCCAAGGAGCTTTCTGCGCCTTGAAATGCTGCCAAAAGCGCCCGGCAGCAGCTCGGTCGATGCTGATCTTGTTGTTCCGAAGCAAGTAGTGTGTCAGCAAGTGCGGAGCGATGATAGGAAAATTCATTTCAACTGTCTCCTTGCACTTAGTCTTGGGATCGGGTCGGGCTCGCACCGTCAGTTTGATGCTGTCCACCGGCACAGCCTCATTCAAGAGCCAATTAAAGGTGCATCAGTCCGAATTCCGGGTAGGACATGAAACCTTTCAATCCTAGGACATCCATAATGCTAGATCTAGACGAGAAGCGGATCCTCCTATTGTTTTGTTGGGCAACACTGAACTGCATTGGCCCCGCACATCTCGCCACACATTGTTTTGGTGCACACCCCGGGCACCACATGCAGCGAGGCTCTCCACTGACTGCGGTGTCGCGGAGCCAAACTCCTGCCGATGCGAGGGGGTCTTGGATGCTTAGTTCGGGTTGTCGGGTTTCTCCTTCAGGGATTTTCTAGCTTCGCCCGAGGGCCTTGACCAGGATGGTGGCAGCACAAGGGTTTATCGTGACTTCTGGTTTATGTAGATTGAGGGCTCGAATGCATGATTCGGTGAGGGAGCCTTGGCTGAACTTTTAGGGTTTTTAGTGCTTTGGGGTTTTAGGGCTTTTGGGTTTTTAGCTTTAGGGTTGCGGTTCTAGAGATGCACGGATTCAAGGGTTAAGGGCTTAGGGGCTTCTGGCTGT